CCAATCAAGTCACACCCCCACTAGCAGTTAAAAGGAAGAAGCAGCTGCAAGCTCACATCACTCTGAGAAGCACAGAGCTGAAGACAGAAGCCTGAAGATGATGAATGAGACTTCATCGAAACGTTGCCTAGATACTTCCAATCTTACGCGGGAGAAAACCCGAATAACCAAAGATCCACATACAAATACCCGCGAGAACCTCAGAAAATATATATATATATATATATATAAGAAAAACCAGTCCAGTTAACAAATGCTAAGTCGCGATAGAAGTCCAGTAATAAAAAAAGTAAAAAGCCACGCCTCACTTTGACGTTTCTCTTTAAAAACTGCCGCTTATTCAGTTTTGTCAAAACTTTTACAGATTTCTTCTTATTCTTAGGGTGTCCTTTCAAATCTCAGAATATTGGTAGAAAAAAAGTTCTCACCGAGCCGACACACTTTCTCTTTCAGTCTCTTCCGTTCCGGAGCTGTCCCAACTTCAGCAGCTTAATGGCTGCCTCTCCGCCACTGGCAAAAAGGGCTTCTCCTGAATCGACCAGGGACTTTGCGATGTCCCTGGGATCCACAGGATGTGCCCTTCACTATCACCGTCTCTATGGGACGGTTTAGGTCCGTTTGGACCGACCAGGGGCAAAGATATTGGCTACAGTCTCAGACCCCCGAGATTGCAAGCCATATCGTCGTGACGTCAGCTCCGCCCTCCATTCTAGACCAAGATTTTTGTGGACTAGAATAAAATGTAAATTTCTTCTCGTCTGGATTTCTCTTCCTCCATATATCTTCCAAATTGGTCTCTTGCGTTAGGTCAAACAAGGGTTTTGATAGAATTCTTTTTTTTTCTTCCTAGTCTCTTCTGTACTGATACAATCTTTTTTAACATCAACAATGGCATTGAAGTCCCCTATTAAACAAATATTTTCTTCACCTACACTAATTATTTTATCATATAATCTCTTATAATATTTATTTTGGTTATTGTTGGGGGCATATATCCCCACCAATAGTAATTATTTTTGATTAAAATTAATTTGTATCATTAAAATTCTTCCTTGCTCATCTGCGTAATTTTTTTTGCATTTATCCCTTTTTTTTACATAAATTGCAACCCCCCTTTTCTTTTGATCTGCCAATGCTGTGAATAGTACACCTAACTTGGGGTATTCTAGATATTTTCTGTGTTGTTTTTAAATATGTACCTCCTGTAGGCATATAACGTCAATGTTTTGCTTAGTTAATTTAGTTAGTATTTGTTTCCTCTTAATCTGGAGTTTAATCCATTGATATTTATTGAGAGTAGTTTGATCTCTTCTTCCATTGTTAATTCTGTGTCTACCTATATCTTCTGTTGATTCTTGCTTCTCTTTGGGGTCTTACTCTTAATGCTTCTCTCCTTGAGTATTCTCTCTTTTCTTTGCCTCTCTCTTCTTGATCCATTTCCTGTATTCCCTATTGTTGGTCTTCCTGTTGGTGGTCCTAGCTCTTGCTTTCTGACTCCTCTTTACTACTCCCCTCTTCCTCTATTTCTGTCAGCTGGTCATAGAATTCTTGCGCCTTTTCAATGCTGTCAATTTTTACCCTTCTTTCTTGTCATGTCACCAGCATTCCTTCAGGAACCAACCCTCTGAACCAGATATTTCGTTTATTCATCGAATAAACAGTATCGCCAGAGATCTGTAATCCTTCCTCAGTGCTCTCACCCGCTTTGGGATTTATTTCAAGGTCATAATCTCTTTTTCTTTATACACCATCGGCTCGTCTTTTGTGATTTTATACACAATATCTCTTATATTTTTCCTAGCAAACCTAATGTGGACCTCCCTTGGCAGCTTATTCCGTCTGGTGTAGTTTGTGTGGATTCGGAAGACCTCATCCAATTCTTTCACTATTTCCTGTTGATCCTTTTGCAATGCCTCTGCTATCAGATGGGACATTATGGCTCCCAGATCTTCATCTTTGGATTCCAATACATTTTGGAACCTCAGATAGAATGCTGCACGCTCCATTTCGAGATGGATGATCGAATCCTCTAAATCTCTGTTCATTTCTGTTACTTTCCTATCCATCCTCTCCAGTCTCTTGTCTGTTTGTTCAGCTTTGGTTTCTATATTCCTTATTTTTTGTTCATTCTTTTCTATTGTCTGTTGGATCGTTCCTATCTTCTCATCCAGATTTTGGATCTTACCCTTCATTTCTCCCATTTCTGTCTTCATATCTGTGTGATTGTTTACCATTGTCTTCTGCATTTTGAGCATTGTTTCCGGGATGGCTGTTAATGTTGCTTGCATTGTCTGCATATTAGCAGCATTGCTTGTTTTTTTCTGTGTTCAACATTCCTTCTATTGTTTTTTGGCCAGCTGGGGATGCGATAGACACTGATGAGCCAGAAATCGTTTTTTTCCCTTTCAGAGTCGTTGCCGTGATGTTGCCAGAGTCATGTTCCTAACTTTGTTGTAGACATCTTCCCACTTTATCATTCACTATTTAATTTCCCTTTCGTTGTCAATTCTATTCAGTAATTTCCTTTAAAATGTATCTTTGCACCTCTCTAACTTATAGTATTACCGTATATGCCGGCGTATAAGATGACCCGGCGTATAAGACGACCCCCCAACATTTCCACTCAAAATATAGTTTGTTATATACTCGCCCCCTCTTCCGCACGCCTTCCACTTTTGCACTTTTTTTTTTTTTTGAGGCACTTTTGTCTACCGTGGAAACGAATCCCGTGAAGCCGAAAGGAGCAGCCAGCCTTCTCCCAGCTCCCAAGGAAACGAGGCTCGCACCGCCCGGGCTCCGCTGAGGTATCCGGCTGGGGCTGTCAGGAGTTGTTACCGCTGGCGCGGCTCCGCACGGCTCCAGTCCCGCGTTGCCTCGGGAAGGGAAAGGCAAAAAGGAAGAGCCGCGGCGGGGCTTGGCAATGGCAGCAGCGGCTCCTGGTTTTGCCTTTCCCTTCCCGAGGCAATGCGGGACTGGAGCTGCGCGGAGCCGCGCCAGCGGTAACAACTCCTGACAGCCCCAGCTGGATACCTCAGCGGAGCTCGGGCGGTGCGAGCCTCGTTTCCTTGGGAGCTGGGAGAAGGCTGGCTGCTCCTTTCGGCTTCACGGGATTCGTTTCCACGGTGCGCAAAAGTGCCTCAGCCGCAGGCAGCCGCAGTGCTTCCCAATTACTATTTGCCGGCGTATAAGACGACCCGGCATATAAGACGACCCCCCCCAATTGGAGGCATCTTTTTCAGGGCAAAAAAGTCGTCTTATACGCCGGCAAATACGGTATATATTATTCAAAGTTAATTCAATCTTATATAAAATCTAAAGCTAACCGGATAACCAATATTAGAGAAGAGAAAAAGCAAGAGGGAGGGCAGGAGGAATGATATTAAAGTAAAGAAGAAAAGAAAGGAATTGTATGATAGAATAGCCTAAGATAGATAGATAGATAGATAGATAGATAGATAGATAGATAGATAGATAGATA